CAGAAGGGATTCGCTGGTGGTCACCCACCCAACTACTAACCTCCCGGCGTGTGGCTTGAGTACGGCTGAGCGGACGGGAAGCCCTATTTTCCACACCCTATGGTCGTATGTACTTATCATTCAGTTGATGTGTCTAATATAACTTGCATGGTTTATTCAAAAAGGGTTTCTAGTTGTCGCCCACCCTCTATGCTCTTGAGGAAGGACAAAATCCTATCTCGAGTACATAAAAGTCATGCAATCCTACTATCATCAATATATTTGATGCACCCTCCTTTGCTTACTCATAGAGGCCACTGAACAGAGCAAGTGATATAAACAAAATTAACGAATCCAATAATCAAAGACTCGAGGTCCTATTCTTTTCGGCCCAAGACAGCAACATCTCACCGGTGTTCCCTTTTGTAACGGTCTGAAAGATGCTAATGGAAGTGTGTAAACTCCGACCGTATTTGCCGGAGCTTCTCTCCCTCTGTTCGACCTTTTGACTTTTTATATGATTCTCGTAGCATCCTTTGCGCAAACAGTTTGCCATTATTCATCTACTCGTCTATATCGAAAAGTGTGGCTCCCAGCTCACGAATTGCTTCTACCAGCCGTGATCATCGTCACCTGCACCGCAGCAAACCTGGTTCCGTTAGTGTACGGCTGGCGAAGAAACATGTTTGACGGACAAAGAAGAGTGGGTATGAGAAAAAAAAAAAAAAAAACCTACGCTGTTGCCGCTGCAAAAATCTCCACGCGCTTCGCCTTGACCATCAACCCCAGAACCAGAACAAACACCATGTTATAGACGAATATAGTGATCAATACTGCCGTCGGATCCTTCAAATAATACAATATAATTATAGAGGTTGCAGGAAGCAATCCCGAGATAATCAAGCTGAGCCCATACGTCCAAGACTTGATTTTCCGGTCATTGTAGTACCAGACGCCGGATTCGAGATCTTTCCGTTTCTGGTGTATGACATGTGCATTAGTAGATGTCAATAGTCATCATCCTGATAGGACTCAACGCCAGGGTACAGTGACAGGGATGAACGAGGAGAGATAAGAAAAGTATCACATACGGTATCGTGGACCCCCACCATCCGATGGAACCACGAAACAACTCGCGTGTAGACAAACCGGGTAAAACGATCCGCCTCCTCATGTCGACTGTACAATGATACCAGGTCGCTCTCATTTTCTTTATCCCATTGGCCCGGAGGCGAAAACATCATGTTTCCGTCTTGTTCGTCCAGCAGCCATGCTCGAAACACCTCTAGGTCGGTTTTCTCGGGCTTGTTGAGGCGGAGGAGTTCGGACTGTTGGAGTAGGGCTGCGTCTAGAGTTGGATCCCGTTAGTGTAATGTTTGCAGTAGAATAAAATGAAACTAAGTATTCTGTATACATGATCGGCCGCAGTCTCTGTGTTTACTGAGCGGGTGACAAAGCCTATGTGTAAGTAGTGAAGGGAGAGGGCTGGAAGCAGAAGACAAAGCATTGACAATAACAGCCTAACAAATGACCATTACATATAAAGATAAAGAAACGAAGAACGGGGACGTACTGTACTCATTCAATAACTTGCGTGCTTCGAGGACCTTCTCCCATTGATACGGGTCCTCTGAGGTCTTCATGTCCCAGACTGAGAATGGAAACGTTTTCTTCTCTTGGGATCGACTGTCCTCCTCAATAATACATCGGAGTTCATTTTCGATGTAGGCAACCTCTGCCTGAAGATAGATGAGGTTCTTTGCGTTAAGCTTGGCAAAACGTCGATAAATGGAGGAACCGGGGTCGCGGGTCATGAGGGCAGCCAGTTTGTCGTAACCTTTGGAAATGGGAGTCGACATATTTGTTGTTGAATTGTATAGTTATTGGGAAGTGTGGCAGCGTTTCTAAAGTACAGGAAGAGAACGAGACGAACGAGTTAAAACAAGACGCCGAGTCCTAACATATGGCAAGATATAAAAAGTCACTGGATCTTCTGCTTAATGTGGTGCTAGAGAGGCTATGTGTGATGCTGCTTTTGTAGGAGAGCCTGGCCAATTATATATGTGAACGGTCAGTAGAGCATGATCTCCTGCATGATGTCCCGAAATCAATGCGAAGCCTGATGATGTTTGGCACCGATCAGGGTTCCAGCCTTATATTTTGAGTATGGTGGCGTACAGTGGGTGGCCTCTAACTTCTGATCAAGCCAGACTAGACATGTATATTTACACCGATTCCCAGCCGAAGATTTTCCTGAATTCTAGGTATGACCCCAATCAAAGTGCAGCTACCTGTAAGACACACTTGCACCGAAGCTACCAATAGTATGTTCGAGGGGACCCATCCCAGCGTATAAAGGGCCATGTTGAATTTGCATGGAACGAAAGCGAGTGCAAACAAGCTCCAAGTCAGTCCCCCCATCCTCCACTAGTTGAGCCTACGGATATCGATACGATTCACGAAGCTTCTTCGCAATAGCGGGGTCCACTCGATACAACTCCTGCTGCCGCATAGAAGGCCTTCCGAGGAGAAGATCATATTCGACGTCTTCTACAACGTAGAACGCTGTCCGGTAAGGCTTGCTGCGCCCACAGAAAGACCACTGGACTTCTGCAATTCCAACTGGTTTGCGATTTCCAAGCCCCAAAACTTGGACAGAAGCCCCTGGACAAGGCTCGATGCTCGTTCCAAGTCTCTGATGTGCCTCTTTTGATATAATGTTGGTATCTGCGTGGAAGCTGAGCAACATACATCGACGCAGCTGGTTTTTTCCAGGCGGACCGGCCATGATATCATAGACAAAGTCGCATTGATCCAGCTCCTTTAAGAGCTGCGAATCATGTGATAAAGCAGAGTCCAGTGACTCTGTTAGTTCTGCGCGTCCCTCGGAGAGATCGTCGTTATGAACTGGTGTGTGGTCATTTTGATCGGAACTATACCGCTCTACTATCTGCTCATCATGTTGCAGCTGGCATGGCTCGTCCTGCTGTTGCTCCTAGTGATGTCTCAATACTTGGTTTCTTGGTGTGACTATAATAGGTAGTGATTATTGCAGATCTCACCGTTTTTCTTCTAAGAAAGTTGAAAGATGGCAGAACTGCGGATGCAGTATTGTAGAATAGTCGGCCATAGAAATATATAGACAGGACTATTTTGTTGGATTCAGTAACGTTCGAAGACGGCGAATGTTGCATTGACCGGCAGGGCGCCTTTTGCAGGTCAGATTCGATGCATAGTCAGTCATTAAAATTAACTGTGGGGTCCTAGTCACGTTTTCATGGTCGTGCGATTGGCCGGGCGTTGGCTTTTCGTCCTCAGTCTGGTCCTGCGTTTGCCAGGGTGCTAGTGCAAGAGAACTCTAATTAGTATCATTCAAATGAAGAATGAGTAAGTGAGGTTGGAGCCATCAGTAACTTACCAAAGGTGCTCCAGGACATTATAGAGGGGACTGAAGGTGAAATGACGTTGGGACATATCCCGGTAGCATTGCCGCATCGTAGAAGAGCCCGGGTGTGGAGGGGCCTTATAGCTGCGAAAAACTTCCAGCTCAGCCGCATTCGTGATTAGAACAATTCTCCGGGTCATCCCTGTATGGTATTAGAACATGTATAACATCCGGCGATGCGCTGACTACCGTGTATACCTTGTCGGTCGCCACAAGAATGGGTGAAGCAAGAGAAGTCCCGTTAGCCTTGGCCGGCGCGGCAGTGCTAAAAAATATCATTGGTAGCTTGACTCGCCTGCCCAGCCTCGTCTTCGTCACTGGGACGTGCATACAAGGCTGAAAGAGGCGAAAACACCAACCATAGCGTGACACGCGGCAGCTAATGTTGCCAATCAGATCCAGCAGCTGTTCCACACCTGAGTCACATCAAACCGAACATCACCGACGACTAAAACTTCGTAGTACTACACCATGAGATCTGCTGTAGCGCTCCAGAGTGGACTATACTTACAGGGTGTAGGGAGACACCGAGAGGTGGAAGGGATAGCTAAGGCAAATGTGCTGTTATGCATTTAATCTCATTTGCAAGATGGTAGAAAACCAGTGGAATGTATCACGAGAAACACATGTAATCTCAGCCTTGCTGACCTTACCGCCGAGCCCCTGGATCGTGGTTTCCCCTGCTTTCCCTGGCAGCCCGACCTTTTGCGACCTCAGTTTCACATCTCTTGCGCTCTGCCTCTGAAGCCTCTCTCTTGGCCTCTGCGTGTCGTTTTTCTTGTTTATCCCGATCCTCTGAAAAATGTTTTAGCTTGTCGCGTCATTCTCATTCGCCGATTACACTGTCTTACCCTTGGATTTTCGCGATATACCAATAGGGCACAGGGACGGATTCTGATCAGAAAACATCCTTGCATATATGGAGCTACGCTGCCCCAAAATGGCGTGCACACCCGAAGTATTTGGAATCACATCGTTTATATCCTCCAGAAGATAGAAGTCCTCCTCCTCGCTTATCTTGGAGGCATGAAGCCAGATACGCAATTTTATGAATTGGCGGACCGTTATCGATCTTCCGTCCGTGAGTTTGATTCTCGTCTCAGAGCCCTCACGGAGGGGCAACATGAGGCATTGATGGCCCAAAGGAGTGAGGATGTTCACCTCCGAGTTCCCCGCAAAAGATGCCAGTAGAGTCTGCTCGGTTTCATGAGGTCCATCACAGCAGATTATAACAGACTAAGACAAGTGCTAGTATAAGTCATTTGAGTTACCAGTCAAGGGGGAAACGGTGCCATTGCGATCGAGGGTCCATACCATAGCTTCGTGATGGCTTTGCCTAGACGATCTTTGGTGATGGGCAAGCACTACTGTGCTCAAATGAGAGATTGTTTTGGACCTTCCGGAGTAATCTACCGGACTTATATTTAAGTAGCATTGTGAAGCCTTGTGGTTGAGCCGCAGGTATCAGTGTCGTTTCCTGTCGGACATGTTTATGCAGCGTGGAAGAGGTGCATTTCGGGGGAACAGAACCTCGAGGCTGAACAGGATCAGTCCAGATCAAGAACAGTCTCAGCCAGATAAGGCTTACCCATGTTCATCACTGAGACCTTTTCATGAGGAGGAATGGGCTGCTATGGAAAATTTGGGCTCGCTTATGAGCGTGTGGTTGAATGCAGATGATGGGGGCCCTAATGCAAGCAAGTCGGGCATCAGGAAACGATAGGAACAAATGTTAATGGCTGGTGGATGTCGATGTTATTAGTTGTATATTATTTCACTCTACTTGAAGCCGTAGATCATCTTACGTGGAGGGTCAGTAACCACCAACCGTCAGCAATTCGGTTGAGCAATTGCGATGGGGTGCGTCCTCGCCCTTGCGCTTGTGGAACAACTAAGTCAAATTACTAGCAACATGACCATTCTCTTGCATAAGAGAACAAGGATATTAATTGGTAGAGATAAGGTAAAAAAGCAAATTACATTTATCTGCCCTTGACGTGGTTTTGACGCCGACGCTGACGCCGCCACCCCGTGCACCTGATAAAGGAAAGCTGACCAGCCGCACAACCCCGCAGGACAAAAATGGATTCCGACTGCACACATAAACACAGCCTGTCGACTTGAACTATTAAGGGCATAGCCTCACAGGTCAAGGCATTCCCACCATCCTTTGTTGTTCAGGATGACCGCGTACCATAACCTTGGGGATGTCGGAGCTGGGTTGCAGCAGCTTGTATTGCGAGATCGTGGGCGAGCCGATCAACACGTCAAATTGATCGTTTTCGACCACATAGAAGTCCGTTTGGTAAGTTCTGACACCCTGGGCAAAGCGCCAGTCCACAGGGACTTTTCCGATCGTTGGAATGAGGGTTGTGTCCCCGGCTATTCTGAATGACACCAGTGACTGCTCGCAAGGCTCCAGCGGTAGGCCGAGTTTGTCAAAGACGACACTTCGCATGATACTGACCTCGCTCTGGGTATCCATGGAGATTCTCACACCTTTCTTCTCTTGGCTTCTAGTTATTAGGTAGCCGTTCCTGGTGAATTCGGGCCGTGCGAGCTCATACTCATCAGTGATATCTCCCCACTGTGGCTGTCCATTCGGTGACAGAGGGGTTGTGGTGGTGGTGTCCTGTCCACTGGGTGTTTCACTCGGACTGAGCACGCCAGACGGAACATCACTCGGCAGCTGTTGGTCCGAAGGACTCGACTCGTCTGAATTTGTGTGTATGGAAGGTCCTTTGGCTAGCCTGTTCACTAAGGCTAGTAGTCCTTCTGTTGTCCCTCCAGCTATTGGGATGTCCACTGACTGCTGCTCGTCTGAAACAGATGCTACCCCGTCCACGCTTGCTCTACCAGGTGTATGAGAGCCGTTGATCGATGACTCATTGTGCTTGGAATCGTCTTGAGGATGCTCTGGGCTTAAAGATACCGCTTTTTGGACCCAGCGACTTGAATAAATACGGGGTACTTTGAAGAGGAATACCAATGCCGTCAGCAGCCACCATAGTATCGCCCTAAAAGGTCGAAAGACAGCAAGGAGATGGGCGAGCCAGCGTGGATGCATCATGTCTGTTGTGTGGTTTTGGGTTTCAACTTCTGAAGGCAGCAGTTAGAGACGGTGCGAGGGCCGTTAATGGCTTCGAAAGAGCTAGAACTGTCCTACCATTCTGTGGCTGTGAGCTTTGTCTGACTGGCATCTGGATTAAAATGAGGGGATCCTTTGTTGTAGCACACAAAGCCCAATTACAAGCGATTCGAATGATGCCTATGGACAAGGACAAATGAGAAGGAATGTGCTATGGTAAGAAGGCGAGTCAGAAGTGAATGTTCAAGGTAGAACGGACCGAATGTATATATAGACCCTTTTCAAAAATTGATTGCCAGAAGATACCAGGACCTGCAGACATACAGCAACGAAAGAAAACGGATCTAAAGAGGAGGGGAGGGTAACAAGATGGAGAACGATCTTAGATATGCAAAGATCCGGTTGCATTCCTTGAGGACTGGCAAACCGATACCTTCCTAGCCAGTTGGGTTTCAATGGATTTCCTGGGCAGAACGGCGGGGACCCGGCTCACACATGCCGAGCAATAGTACCCAGGTCGGTCGAAAGTCCGGGACTTTCAATACTTTAATACAGACATTTACCCATTCGCACGCGGTTATTCATGTCTCCGTTGCCTCACTTCTATTGACGTGGCCCGCGGTATTACCAATGTTTCAATCTTTCCCTAACTAACCGTTTCTAGAGCAAATTTCCGTTAGAACAGTCATTCTCCTGGAGCATAGGGCTTCTGGCAGACGATTTTAGATCCCATAAACCCCTAATCCTACCACGGTCCGTACCTCCCACAGTTCCCGAACGACGGTAGGGAAGGGAGCCGATTGTTCCTGCAGATTACTTATGTTACTGGATACTGCATCCGTCTTCACGTTCCTGCTGAGGGAAAGCATGCATTTGGAAAATAAAAGAGGTTGGGCTTTTCCCCCAGATGATACGCCCTAAAAAGAAAATGGATTCATCCTAATCCTCGCCATATAATGTAAGGACAAGGAGAAGAAACTTACAGAGAGAGCATACTGATGTAGGTCGTCGTAGATAGCCGTTCCCATCAGACTTGTCTCTTTTTCCCGGGTAGTATTTTTTATTTCTCTTTTTTGTGTTTTTGCAAGAGACTGGGGAAGGTACATACAGGTTTCCAGGTTTCCGAGTATCATGACGAAGTACTCCGTTCCATTCGCTGTCAATGCCACAGGAAGACAGGAAGTTACTGTTGCAATTGGGAATTTCCTGCCAGCACAGCGACGACGGTTGCTGGGTCCGCCGCAGCTCATATCCAGTAATGGCGGATGGTTGATGGCTGCCGCGTAACTCTGCAGATCTAGGCTAGGTCACGCGTACCTGAACATCCCCCAGCTCTTCAATTTGCTCCATGTGCACAGAAAGTAGTAAATTAGGTTATGGTTCGCATAGATTCATGGCCTAGTAGTTCTGTTGTAGCAGCTATTAATCTGTTGTCGTCTATTGTAATCATAATGGAATGTAGAAAATGCCATTATTACATAAATTCCCGCGGTTAAGTGGTTGCAGCCCCCCCCCCCCCCCCCCCCCACCCCCCCCCCCCCCCCCCCCGGCGGAATACCCTGATCTTCCGTCGGGGATAAGATACCTCGTGCTGGACAACGGAAGATGGGAAGATGCCGGGTGGTTCAGCTGTTGATTGGTTATGATTACTAGCTTCGGTCCTTCGACGGGGTTTAACCAGCCTTATGCCTTGAAACGGTATTGTCAGTGAACTGTAAGTGGTGAGTGGCGGTATAGTACTAGTTACATGAGCAAAGGACGGCACTTGCACCTTATTACATCCATCATTGTCCATTGTCCTTGTTGAAAGGAGTCTAATTCCATGGTGCACTCCTTCGAATATTACCTTCGCACCATTTTTTTCCCGCGGTATTCGAAAAATTTCAAGTAACGCTGCGAATATCTCTAAAACATCATGTAACGTAATCCCCCCAATCCCCCCCCCCCCCCACACACACACATGAACATTCGTCCTTGACCGCAAACAAGGATCAATGGAGCAAAAGACGCCGTCTTCCATGCGATCGACGACTATCACTTTAGTCCTGATCTACGGATATGTCTTGACACATTACATTTTATTCATTTCCATTCAAGAAATCTGCAAGTATTTTCCCAAAAGCATACTTTTTCTTATGGACCCTTGTTCTTTTGCAAGGATCGTATATATTCTTCCGTATTTAACATCGGCTTGTATGGATTCATTTGAATTTCAACAAATGCAAAAAATGGACTTGAAAGAACATATGTGAAGACTTTTAGCCATGTGTATGTGTATCAGTATTTTATTCTGAAGTCATTTGATTACTTTTTGACTTGATTTTCTCGAAAAAGGGAACGGGCTGTCGTTCCATCCCAGCGACACTAGAGTGGTAGCTAAACTGTACCTTGGCGGTGCCGCCTCACTGAGCAATTTTGCTCACCAGAAAATGGTCAACCGTCTGACACCCGCTAGAAGATTTTCATGGAAGGGTTTTTTGGGCGACAAATATTTCTTGGGTGGTGGTGCGAAGCCGGGTGCGATTTCACTTTTCCCTTTCTGCTCGTCTGCATCACCATTGCGCGTTGTGTCTTTTTTTCCTTTTGGGGGCGGGTGGCGGATAAGCAGGAACTACTCCGTAATAAGGACTACTATCTAGGCTCCCACATTTGGTTCTGCTACGCAGAGGAAATACTCCTACGTCATTCCGCATAATCGGGGTTATTGACACCAGCATACAGAAAAGAACTTGATCTTCTAGTTATTCTAAGTAGATTATCATAAAGTAGGCAATTATGGTATACTACTACAACATGATAGCGAGGTAAAGCTTTGGTCATTCATTTCAGCGGCAGCATATCAGTAAAACAAACTATTGTAGTTAATCTGGCAGATCCATTTGTCGATTCAAAAACCAACTACTTTTCTTATCCAACTAATCTCTCCTAGGTTGCAGATGACACGTGCTACTCACAGCACGCATAACTTATAGACGTTACACGATCGGAACCCCTAGCTTGTGGCAGTTTGAGTTGCAGGCCCAGGGCCAGGACTGTTGACGATTATGTCAGATGACAAGACAATCCTCATTGGACGAGGGACTGTCGAGACATCATGATTCAACCCATTGATGAAAATTTATGCATTGTGATTTTGCTTGGACCTATAAGCTTGCTAAGCTTGCCAAGATCATAGAGGCTGTTGTTGTCCGTGGTAGACTGGAAAAAAGAAGTTTAACTGGTGGGAGTACCTACGCCTTGATCATGTGACATGAAGAAGCGCGAAGATGTCGAAGATGAGGCCATGGATATAGCGGTTGACCGTGCCAGTAAAGGCAGTAGCAGATTGTATCTCGTTGGTCAAGGTGAAATGAATTATTCAGGGAATGGAGAGTAAGTTCACCTATCTGAGAGAAAATTCAGGTTCTATCCAAGCTACAATAATGTGAATGTGATAAGTCCAAAAATTGGGTGAGGGCTTTTCTCATACACTGCCAGCACGATGTTTCGATGCTTTTTGATCTTGTCCTACGTAACATACAACTGATAGCAGATGGGCAATCTGGCGCGGTAATCTCAAAGGATAGTTTACATCAACCTCTCGTGATATTAGTAGTTGGTGAAGACATACAGAAAAATCTAACAGCAGTATCCGAGGGCTGCTTTATGCAGATTGGAGTGAATATTTATGACCAAGTCCATGAACCTACTTGCTCACCCATATTCTACCTCACTTGATATCGCAAAGATTACCACGCACTGCACCAACATTCCCCGAAGCGCCAGTCTGAGATTAACGGTACCCCTCGTCACGGCGCTATTTACTGCGATATGCCGTTCCTGACTCCCTAATCTCTAGAAAGCTGGATTGGCGTTTGTGAGAAGCTGCACGAAGTAGGCCTACAAACACAACCCCGTCAGTCCGATCAATCAATCTACTCCCAGCCAACGAATTTAATCGGAGAACATACCTGAAACCAAGTACCCGCCTCAGGCGCCGGCTGCAAGGCATCGCTATACCCGCAGTGCGCATCGTATCGAGTAGCCGAGCTGTCAGAGGTGCCGTCACTCTCGCCTCCAGGCTTCACCCAGACGAAGGCGTCGACGAGCGCATCGCCGGTGCTGGTGGTCGGGCGGACGCCGAAGCCAGTGTTGATGACATTGCACCAGTCACCCCAGGCCTGCTGGCCCGTGGGCTGTTTGCCGTTGCGGCCTAGAAGTTAGCGATTCAGTTAGCCAGAGTTAGGTCGGAGGAGGACGGGGTGTGAGAATGCGCATACCGGTATCGACGATAAAGTGGGCGTCGAAGCCCTGCGCCTCTAGCAACGGGGCAATAGCATTGATATACTGTTGCTCATCGCAGACGCTATTTCCCTGGGTGTAGGAGGGACAGGAGGAAATGGTCCAGGCATTGTAGTTGGCGACATTCGTGGCCAGGCCGCGCACCGCGGCGGGAGAACTGGCGTTCTTGTAGACGCTTGCAAACAGGTCGGCGGCGGGTTGTTGATTTGCGGGCCAGCCCAGCCAACCGGCGTGTCCTGCAGGATCCTTGGTCAGAACCTTTCAAGAGGGACTGTTAGGGGGACGGGGGATGATAGGAAGCCTACCGGCGTCAAGATACATGGCCACGTTGGGGAGATTGAGTTGAGTCAGCGCATAATTAGTACATTCAAGGTAGGCACTTTGAGCATTGGCACATTTGGCCACATTGAGGTTTGTCACCAGGTTGGCGAGACTGTCGGGCTCTGTTGGAGGTGATATTTAGCGTTCAGATGCAGTAGATAGTGTCCGAATTAGTGGAAAGACACTCACCAATAACCAGAAGGGTATGAACATCCGAATACTGCACAAGAACCTCGCGGATGGAATCAATGTAGGCCTTGTAGTGTTCAACCCCGTTGTCCGCAATCGAATACTCGCCGTTACTGGCGAGAGCGGCGCAGTCGCGGTCAGGGAGGTCGTACACCACAAACTGACCCGCGATAGGGGGGCTTGCTCCGGCAGAATTCTGAGATTTGATGTCGGCCAGATAGTCCGCCATGGTAGGAACTTTGTCAGCGGTATCCCTGGAAAGTGTCAACACGAATCTAATACAAATTACATTGTGGAATGAGGAAGCATACAGCCATACGAAAGAAGGTACCTTGGCTGCGGCGGTTGCCGCCGCCTGGAGCGAGGAAAGAGAACCAGTGAGCGATGGGATGGCCAAAGAGGCGACTTCCGATGAGTAGTACGGGTTCACGTAAAGCTGGTATCCGCTGAATGGGTTGCCACTAGCGCTGGCCGTGGTAGTCGGTGAGGCAGAGGCGGCAGGGCTGCTAGTAGCAGTTGTTGTCGTCACTGCAGCAGTGGTAGTACTAGTAGTTGTCTTTAAGGTAGTGGCAGAGCCCGAGCCTGTCGCTGGCGTACACTGAGCATAGTCTGATGGTCATGGTCACTCGGCTGTGGAACAGTAAGACTTCGGTAAGGAACTCTTACATTCATTTATAGTTGAGCATGTTGCACCAGCCACGCAACTTGTGGCCCCTGAATACCCTTGACCCCCACATTGTCCCCAAAGGGTTTGCTGGGCTTGGATCCCGAACGGCAGAAACGCCAATGCGAGAGATAACGTGTAGTGCATTCTGATACTGGGATATCCAACGGTAGCCAAAGAGATGTCGGTTTTTGTTGAACTGCTCTGAACTCTCCTGCTAGTCGGGAAAACGGACAGACTTTATAATGTCATTTTCCCTGGCTCACAGATGCACTCCGCGTTGTCCTCGGAAGCAGCGCCGTCTTTCAACTGCCAACGCCAATTCTTGGTCCCGGAAGATGGCTCAATTTCGTCGCAGTGTCCAAGAAAGCTACCAGACGAAGCCATACTCCGTTCTGTATTGGGATACAGGATCCGTCAGCATTATATCAGCGGGCCACTATCACTTGAAAGTTGCAAGTATACGCCGACGCCGAGAGAGCTAAACAAGCCATCGGTCGGTGGCGTTGAGACATCTCCCTAACCGATGCGGAGAGCATACTGAAGAATCACGGATACCTGAAGAAATCCCCGTGCAGCCCTATAATCCGGCAGATGAACATGATCTAATCCGAGGGGTCTTTCGGTATTTTTCTGACTGGTTGCGAGCCAGTCACGGCCGCACGGCCCGTTCAGCCTGCATCCGCGCTACCAGGGTAAAATGCCAAGCCAATGCAGGGACTGGCGTAGATCCCATTTAGCCAGAATTGCCGGGTTTAACAGCCCGGGTGAATTGCTGGAGAAGAAACATAGACCTATGTGGTGCCTAGATCTTTGCTAACCTAATTTTGCTGTTGACTTGCGGAAGGCAGCGCGCATGACTTTGGCCATTGAGCGGAGACGGTCTGAGTAGGTCTGTTAG